CCTGCAAGGGTACCGCCTGCAACGTCTCAATCTGAAGGGGATAAACTGCCTACAAATGAATTGGCGACAGTTGAGCTTGCTAATCTTAATGAGAGTCAGTCTCCCGCTTCCTCTGTACTATTGCCACCTTTGGGGACTATTATTCCTAGTCCCACGACTGGCCGGTTGGCCCAGGTGGATCCTCACGCGAGCTCTCCTGAACTTTCAGCTGCTGACGATGACGAACCATTAGACTATGGGAGCTCGTCTCACCATGAGGATGCTGATGAGGATGAAAGCGATGATGATGATTTTTACAATTGGGCGGATCAACCACCACCACCTTCACGTTTTAATTTGTGTATTGCTATACTTATTGTGATTTAGTATTTATTATGTTTTTGCTATAATTTTTGTTAGTAGTCACGTTATGGTGTAGTTGTTTTATTTTTTGTTGTATTTGTTTTATTAATCCTACGTAATGTACATATTACTTATACATGTTTGTTGTGTGTGTTATCACATAATTTTGGTCATATTTTACCTTTCATGTACGCATTTTGTTATCATTATAGTTTGGTTATTATCAAGTTATATGTTTTTCTTGTATGTCTTTTTATGTTGTCTTTAATTTTATTGATTTATTAGTTTATTTGTGTTATTTGAGTTATATTGTTTATTAGTTAACATAGTTATTTCTTTTACTTTTCATCTGTAGTTTCATAGTTTATTTTAGGATGTGAAATGAGTGTTATAAGTTTATACAGCTTAGATGCAGGTTTTGCATATTGTAGATATTTTTTTGTGTTTATTAGTTGTTTTTCTTTTATTAAGTTGTGTATATTTTGCTTTGATAATGTATTTTATTGTCTATTCATTAATTGTTTCAATTGTTGTATTTATCAATTCTTCATATACACAAGTCTCTGTATTACTGTTTTAGTTAACTGTTATGTCCATATTTGATTATTATTTGGAAATTATTACATGGCAGTTCATATGTTGTATTATGTTTATTCTTTGTTTATATTAGGTTTATAGTTTTTGTATTATATTTGGTTATTCTAACAGGTATAATGATATAATGGTTATTGGTATATTTTGATATTGTGTTCGTTGTGTAAATATTATGAATACATAATTACATCATTATTACATATATTTTTTATGTCTTTTATCTACGTCCATTATTGGTATTTTTTACTTTTTATTATCAGCTATTATATGTATTATTTTTGCTTTACAAATTACTATATGATATCGTGCATATCTTATTTTAATTCCAAGGGCGGAATTTATTTTAAGGGGGGTAGAATGTAAGGACCATGAATTTTTAATACTAGTTAAAATAATTTTCTGGTATTTTAAAATATTTAATTGTGATTTTTAAAAGTGTATTTGTATTTTTCTCGATTTCCTAGAAAATTTCTATGATTTATAATCCAAGTTTTATATTTATTTAAATGATATTAATATTTATAAATTAATTTTATATGGTAAAATTTTTTGGAATTAATCTATTGTATTATTGATATTATTACGTATTATTTTTAAATAATGTATTGTATTATTTTGTATAATACGTTATATTATTAATTACATATTATTTGTATAATTTATTGTATTATTTCTTCTGTTGCATGTTATCAATTGTATTAGTACAACAGTTACGTTTTATCGCATAGATAAGTATTCTGTAATTAGTTAATTTTTTAAGCACCTGTAATTAATTATTTTAATTAAATACCTAAAACCCTAACCCTAATTACAATCCTCTATATATATATATTTATTTATTTATACCCCCTCTCTCTCGTATTCCATTTCAAGCCATCACCACCCATCACCTTCTCTCTCCTTCCTCTCTCTCGTTCACTAAGACCCAACCCAGGCATCACCTAACGCCCGCCCGCTCGCCGCACCACCTCACACTGACTGACCGCCACCTCCGACCCTCCACCTCGTCGACCCCCAACCTACAACACAACTGCTGCCCAACACCGCTCGACACCTCCCCTTTGTCCACACTCCCCACTGAAGCCGCGACGAGCCGTTGCACGCGACAAATCCCAGCTACTCACTACAGGATCCACCCGCCAACACCTACATCCGCCTCCTGAACACCGCCACGGCCTCCGTACCACTCCAGCCACGCACCTCAGCCGCCTAAGATCCTCGTCGCCCCTTCTTGCTGCCGTCGAGACAGTCGCCACGACCCGCAGGCAAGCCCCTGCGACCGCCCAGCTCCCGAACTCGCGATGCACAGCTAGCCACATGCCACCGTAGCAGCCGTGCTCACACGGCCGGTCCAGGCTTGTCGCTGTTGTAAGGCCAGTAGGCGCCGTCTCTCGCCTACCTGCCTCTGCCTGCGCGAGCCGCCGCCAAAGCCATGCGCCAGTCAGCCCCGAGCCGCCGAACCCCGCTTCTCATGTCGGATCCGATCTGCGTCGCAAGCAAGATCTCGTGTTTACCTTCATTTTTAATTAATGGTTAATTATTTCAATTAAGTTGTATTAATGTGGCTAAATTATTTTGTGGTTAATATTGTGTTATTATGATGATTATATGTAGATAAATTATTTTATGGTTAATATTGTTGTTAGTATGATTATTACATGTAGTTAAATTATTATTGTGGTTAATTATTATTACGATTATTATCGTTATTGCGGTTAATGTGTACAACCGAATATTTGCGTGGGATGAAGATGACCAATTAGTTATGTACGTGTAGAGTTTAATTGTTAATTTTTGTTAAAATATATTTAATGTATATGGACATGAATGATAAATTAGGATTATGTTAGAATTTGCGAACTATTACAGAAAAAAATTATGAAAAAAATAAAAATAAAAATATATGTATATATATATTAACAATTTTTAAATGATTATTTGTAGTAGTTTTGACAAGGGATAGTTTTTGAAATTTATTAATAGAAAGAATATTTCATTTATTAAGAACATAGAACTGATCGTCGTAGAGAGCGACATTTCATGTGCGTAACGATATCAGTTCCCCATTTTCTTTTTACTACAATTTTATGTTGTAGAATAATTAAGTATGTGTAAATTGCATGAGGAGTTTGGTTATTCCAGTAGTGATGAAGTCCCTTATGTATGTATTCATACTGTAGTATTTTGTTTATGCATTTCATGTTCATTATAGTTCTCATTTCTGCTTCATAAACCTGCGTAATTATGTTTAACATGCCCTACTATATTCATAATCTGTTGATATGTTGAGAACATTAGTAGTTCATGATTTAGTAGCCTTGTACGTCATGAACAGACTTAGTGACATGTGTGAGTGTGTTGACTGAGTTTAGGTGGTGAACCCGAGTTTAATAGGGATTATAATTGTTGACTTAGAAAAGCGAGAAGAGTTGGGATGGGAAAGTCCTTGTTCATGTGGTCGGATGTGACCGTTGATGTATCTTCCATGCTCGTGTCAGTGAATTCATGTAATCACTGGGGTTGGTTTGTTGGGCTAAAGTGAATTCGTGTAGTCACTTTAGTCAGTAAATTCGTGCAGTCACCCGAGTTCTGCTTGAGTTCGGACTAGGCTGAAATTGGATTGCGTGTAGTCCTCTGACCGATTCGTGTAGCAGTATTGGATGCACATAGGGGGTTTGTGAACAGTCAGCTATCCGATGATATGAGCAATGACTCTGTGTGAGATGTTGACAAGTGAGTTTTAGGATGACTAGTACTTTACCCGATTATTGTATGCGTATAGCTGTATGTTATCATGCTTAGTATAAGATTACATTTTGACTTAGTAGAGTTCCAGTTGCATGTATCATTGTCATTCGTATTAGCATTATTACTGTCATAGCATGGGTCGTTAGACCGTTTTATTTGTTCACGTGAGATCTTGCCGTGTGCCATGCACGTTGACATACACCTGTTTTCTTTGGTGTGCGTCAGACTTAGGAGACGAACAGGTCCAGTTCAATGATACAGTAAAGCCGGTGTATGCCCAACCGGAGTGTCCATCTGATGGAGTGGAAGAATAAACTGAAGCCTAGACGTGTTTTCTTTTCTATAGTAGCTGATGAACACTAGAACTCTTTTATATAATTTTTCTTAGTTTGATGATGGGTTCAGTTATTTTATCAGTATTTTCTTTTATGTCTATGTATTTTTATTCCTAGTTGGACCGTTTTTATTGTAATAAGGGTATGTTTGACCCATATTTTATGTCTGGGATAATTTACCATGGATGATATGTTTATTTCTTATTCTGAGTTGTCTTTATATTCTTGCTATTGTGATCGGTGGTCTGTGATTGAAATTTATGTATTTGACGCTTAGCGTATTAAGTTGAGAAGAAAAGAAAAGAAAAAATAATGATAGTGTATATTTCTTCTCAATCTAATACGTCGCGGGCTTGTTCACGTTCTGATTCCTGGGTATTTTGGGAAACGGGGCGTGACAGGTAACTTGGCCACCTTCCAAGTACATCAATGGAGATCTTAAACTCGTTCATCAGGGATGTAACTTCGGGCTGAGATTGTTCGACAGTCTTGTTGACTAATCGCTCCTATCGTTTTTAAAGATGTAAGATCCATATCATTAATGAATAGATAAAAGTTTTTTTTATAGATTGATTTAACAAAAGTAAATTGGACATACGTACATAGGTGTCTTGTGCTTTCTCGTTTACCCATGCTTTCCTTTTTTTTGGTAGTGAGTTTCCTTGTAAAATTTCAGAAAAGAGGGAGCTTGCCCATTATTTTTTGATTTTTGTAATTTAATAAATTCATCATTATGGTTGTTAATAACTATTTATAGTCTATTTATTTAAAAAGTAAAAACTTATAAAGCAAAACTTATAATTACTGATATTATTGCTGCAAATGATCGAGAACCAGATATATGTTTGTAGGGCAACTTTGATCGACTCTCCTTCACTTTATAAGATTTTGTCTAATAACCAAAATAAAATATATTATTAAAATATATCATAACAAATAAAATTAACATGACAATTTAATAAAGTGATTTGAGATCTATACCTTCCATTCTTCAGTTTCCCACACATCGATCATCGATACCCAATCATTGGGCTCCACACGCTTCGGTGGATGGTTCTTAGGATCAGGTACTCCCTTCTCTATTAAACCATGATAGTAGGCGTGCAACTCATGCTTCCAATTTCTATATATGCTCTGACACTTTTTCTTTATAGAATCTTGGATGACTAGGTAGTTCTCATAGTCCCCGACATTAAATCTTTGCTACAAGTACAGTTAAACATGAATATACATATAAGCATGAATATCCTTCTGTAATATGCAGTACGTTATTTGCATAAATATACATATAAGCATGAATATCCTTCTGTAAGCATGAATATACATATAAGCATAAATAGTGGTATAGCATGAATATCCTTCTGTAAGCATGAATATACATATAAACATAAATATTGGTCCAAATTCATTCAAAACATTCAAATCCTTACACTACTATCAGTAATGTGCAGTACATTATTAGAGGAAAAGTGAGGAGTCTGTAATATAAAAGGCAGATTCACGTCTGGTGTGTTTCTACTTATCGATAGGCCTTCTCACTTCTCCTGACATCAGTTCCTGTTAAGTTTTAGTTGCATAAAGACTTGTTAAGATTTCCACCACTTCGATGTTTCTAATTATGATTTTTTTCTTGGTAAAGTCAGGTTATTGTTTTTAGGCAAAATATAATAATTTAACATCTTTGTCGAAGTAAATATATTTCCATTTGCTTATTAATTAGAATCTTGAGGCAAGAAAGAAATAAAATTGTAGTATAAAAATGTCTCTCTCCCTGAACATGAAAATTCCAGTTAATTATCCATTAATCTTGCTATTGTGGAACTCAAAGAAAACGTAAGAAAAATTATATATTTTTATAGCTGAAACTTTAGTCACCTTAACAAAAAAATGTAGCAGCAAAAACATGACAGGTTGAAGCTTTTTTATATCACGACAGCCCAAAATGCGGAGTTGTTGCTTGCTAGTTAAGGAGCTAGTTCTTCTTATCTACATTATGAATGACCCTTTATGATTGAATAAATCAGGACAAATATATCATAGCAATGAAAATATATCATTAAAGAATGATTAAAAAATACTCGAACTCTCAGAATGATCGCCTCTCGAATCTCAGCATCAATATTGTCCCAACCACAACTGTGAACCGATGTAGATGACTGGATCTCTTTACCAATCTCATTCGTAAGGGATGTCGAATGCTCCCCCTCTGGTGCTCCACTCGAGGAAGGGATCGGAACTAAAATCGCATGACCCAATTGTCTCACCAATCTCTCTGTCCCCTTCTCTCGTGTTGCACCGCGTACATTTCTACGGGTCGATGGTACCGATACTACAAAAAATACAAAGTTAATTGAATTAAATTTTATATCTAATATAAAGGAAAGGTGAATTTGATATGTAAATAATGATATACTATTACCTATGCTGCTTCCGATCGTTTGAGGGCTTTCTAGTTGGTCGGGCTGGGCAATAGATGATGGCTTAGGGTGGGGCAGCTCGCTACGGGTACACTGGGGTGGTTGGTTCGAGGCAACCAAGATCCTCCTCTCGGGCATAGAAGTCAATTGTATGATATTTTTGGACTTGCATCCTGGAGCCATACGTGTTACCTGTTATAATGGAGTACAATGAATTAGTAGTACACATAATGAAAAGAAATTAATAACAAATAATAATAAGTAATGACAAGGATAAATAATTACAAGTAACAATTAATGACAATACACATATAGATATTACCTCTACTAAATCATCATTGTCATCTTCACTCGATGAGCTAAGCAAATTATCATCCATAGGCGGTAGGTACTCATCATCATCCTTACAAACCTTTTTTTACTGCCTTTACTTTTCCTCTAATGCATTGGCAACATCCTGAAAAATGTTTGTGAAAGTGGTGGTATTCCCAAAGCTCTTATTCTCGCTATATTCTCATATATAGTTTTCCTCCTTCTTGCCTCATATATCTGTCATTTTTTGTGTGGACTCTGGTTTGACCCATAATGTTTTACCACTGTGCATATTTGATAACTATGAAAAAAATTACATGTTAGAAAATATAAATTACGCCAGGTTGTAACATTAAACTATTATACAAAATGATAGAATGTAATTATGTAGATTTCAAAGAATATTATTTCTTGATATTTGTTCATTTACGAAACAAAAACATATACTACACATCATAATCCATATCAGGGTCTATATCTAGGTCAGACTGATTATGCAGATTATCTTCTTCATCGTCGCCATACTCTTCCATTGGCTGATCATTGTCAACTCCATACTCCGTATTTAGGTCAGCACTGGGAATGATATCGGGACCAATATCATCCCTATAATAAGGATAATTTGTAGTAGGCTTGACGATAATTGGAACAGTGACCGTGGTTTCATCTTGTAGAAATGCATCGTTAAGCATATCATCATGGACTTGTTCCGATACATCCCACACACTCCTATGCTGGACCTGTTCTATGAATTTCCAATGAGCACCCAATTTGGTATCATTAATGTAAAATACTTGCTTCACATGCTCTGGTAGCACAAAAGGATCGTTTTGATACCAACGACCCCTAACATCGATACTTATGATATGTGTATCTTTATGTATTCTATTTTTACCGTCAGTGTTGAACCACTCACATTGGAACAAAACAATCTTACCCCCATGCAAATATTTCAGCTCCTAGACTTTGCATAAGTAACTGTAAAAGTTAATTCTTTTTTCCATCGTGATCCCCTTCCACAACCAAACCACTATTTTGACTCTTATGATGGTTGTCGCGATCTTTAGTGTGGAACCGAATGCCATTACAATGCACCCCTCATAGAGATGAACTTATATGTCTGGACTATTTTCTAATGACCACAATTCATCAGTTGCCCTTGGTGACCCGATAGTTCGCAAATGATTTATCTACATAAACATGTTACAAGTACATTAGGTATTCAATAATGTTAATTTAAATTTAATTAATAAAATGACTTGTGCGTATTTCATGTAACTTACATGTTGTTTGAACCATTTTGAAAATTCTTTTCGTTGTATCTGAGTAATGTCATGTCCTTTTAAATTTTGGATTGTAGCCTTGTGTTCCCTATAGATGAGGTGTCAATCAATTGGCTAGTAAAACTATACAATTGATTAAAACTTAAAAAACTTAATACATACTCTAGAAACGGCTCCAATTCAGGGTTATTATACAACACAAACCACTGAGCCATATCCAAATCTTTCTGAGACACATCTGGAGCTCTTGTGATTGGTCCGAAGGGGCGAGTACTTTGTGTGAAAACCGACAATCCAGGACCAAGTATACCACAATCAACATTTTGTTCTTCTCGAACAACTTCTTTCAGATACATTGAACAAAAAGTAAGACACTCTTTAGCAATGTAAGCCTCTACAATTGAACCTTCTGGCCTGGCTCGATTGGTAATGTACCCCTTTAGTGTTACAAGAAACCTTCAAAGGAACCATAAAATAGAATAAGATTTATATGTAATACAGTTGCATAAATACGAAACTAATTAATTATGTGGTCCTATAACATCTACATTTCGATCGGATACATCCATCGATATTGCACTGGACCAGCAAAGCATGGCTTCATGTGGCAAGTGAACAGCCAAATGGACCATCACATCGAAAAAACTGGTGGAAAAATCCTCTCCAGTTTACAAAGTATATGGACAATGCGTTCATCTAACTTTTCCAAATCATTGTGCCTTAATGTTTTAGAACAAAGGTCCAAAAAGAAGCTTCCCAACTAAAAAAGTGTTGTACCAATTTCCTTGTTAACATATCCGTTCATCCCAATTGGCAGAAGACGTTGTAGAAGGACATGATAATCATGGCTCTTCAGACCCATCAATTTGCCGCCTCTAGTGCTCATGCACCTCGACAAATTTGCTGCATACCTATCAGGATACTTAATCGATGCCAAGAATGCACAAAAACCCTCTCTAACTTCTGGGGATAGTGTGTAGGCTGCCATAGGCTTGTGAATGGATCCATTTGGTTGTTTCTCTAAATGTAATTTTGACCTTATATTCATATCTTCCAAATCGAGGTGAGCTTTATTCGTGTCCTTGTTCTTCCCGTCTATACCCAACATTGTCCTAATGATTGCCTCACATATATTCTTTTCGATGTGCATGTGATCCAAATTGTGTCGCACCTTCAGTTCTTTCCAGTACGGTAGCTCGAAAAAGATACTTTTCTTTTTCCAATTTAGGGCTTCAGATTCATAGGGTCTTTTCCTCTTTAAAGGATGCTTTCCGAAATTAACATTTGGTAATTGATCCAACTGTTCAAGTACCTTTTCCATGGGTAACTCCAAATATTTCATATGATGTTCAGTCCTACCGTTAAAGTCCTTACTCCTCCTCATAGTGTGATTCCTAGGCAAGTAAAGTTGATGACCGAAGTATCCTATCTTACTCCTCAATCGGTGCGATAATGAATCATTATTGCAAGGTGGACAAGCCATATAGCCTTTTGTACTCCACCCAGAAAAGTTATCCACCCAGAAAAGTTATCATATGCAGGAAAGTCATTAATGGTCCACAATATAGCCGCATGCATCCAAAAGATCTGTTTTTTGGAGGCATCATAAGTTACTATCCTATTATCCCACAACTCCTTCAACTCGTCGACCAAAGGCCTAAAGAAAACATCGATGTTGTTCCCTGGTGCATGTGGTCCAGGAATAAGTAAGGACATCATGAAAAAAGATTCTTTCATACACAACTAGGGTGGCAAGTTGTAAGGCATAAGTATGACTGGCCACATACTATATGCATTGCTCATATTCCCAAAAGGGTTGAACCCATCACTGGCCAGTCCCAGCCTTACATTGCGGATCTCTTGTGCAAACTTTGGACGATGAAGTTCAAATTCCTTCCACTCCTCAGTGTCAGCCGGATGTCTCACAATCCCATCATCTACATATTTATCCCTATACCATCTCATCTCTGAGGCCGTTTTCCTGGACATGTACACCCTCCGCAACCTCAGAGTTAATAGAAAGTAACGCAACACCTTACGAGGGATCTTCATACTCTGTCTACCAATGAACTTGTACCTAGACTCCCCACATACAGGACACTTTATCTGGTGCGCGTTCTCCTTCCAAAGTAGTGCATAATCATGTTGGCATGCATCGATATGCTCATATCCTATGCCTAGATACACATTAACTTCTTCGTTTCATAAATTGACCCCGGAACCAAATGACCCTCTGGCAATAAGTCCCTAAATATCTATAAAACCATGTCGAATGACTTATTACTCCACCTATTCTTAACTTTCACATGAAGAATCTTGACAGCAAATGCCAACAAAGCAAAGTTTTTGCAACCAGGATACATTTCACGCTGGGAAGCTTCCAGTAATTTTTTGAAGTTTCGAACATCATGATCCATTTCTACATCATCATTATCCTTATAAGTTCCTCTGCAATGGTCTTCCAATAATTCTGGATACTCATCTCTGTTATCGTCCTCGCTCTCATCCCTATCATCACCGGAATCACCATGTTGATTATCAGGCCATTCTCCATGTTGCAACCAAATTTATAGGATACCATAATCCCATATCGAACCAAATGATCTTGTACAATACCAAATTCACGCCAATAAAGATTTGTTACACGGACACCGAATCGTGCTACTGCCGCCTGCATTTACTTTTGCAAATTCAATAAAAGCATCAACTCCTGCCCGATACCGCAGACTTAATCTATCCCTAATCAGTGTCATCCAAATCTTATCCATACCTGATTACAGTTGGTGTGAATATAATATCACATTAATTTATTATCATAAAATAAAAAGTAGCATCTCAAATGAATATGCAATAGTAAATAAAAAATTAACATGACAAAGTTACTTGCTGACTTGTGTGAAAGTAATAAATAATTAAACTAAGTTTGATAATCACAATTACTTGCTAACTTGTCTAAAAGTAACATGACAGTGATTTGAGAACCTACATATTGTATATGTTATTTGACTAATAAAGGTGTAAACGAGAGAGTCATACTTGAACCTTCTAACTTCAGAATGTGATTGTTTTGGAATGGTGTTAGTTCCCTTGGCTCAATCAGTCCTATTCTCTCAACAAATTTACTATCAAAGTTGATATATTAGATAAAAAGAAAAACTTTTTAGTAACTTCAATTTCAGTAACCTTTTAGTAACTTCAAAGTTGATATATTAGATAACAATATATCAAGGTGATGGGGTGAATGATAAATCGAAGCACATGCACGCACGTAATTAAATCCCAAATAAAACGGTAATAGTGCCCATTAACCACGTTATTTCAACCAAAAATTAAAGCACTCTCGCGTGATCACCTCGTCCTAAAAGATAATTCAAATACGATAATCAAACAATCTAAGTACGAAAAACAATTCCTTGCTTTTTGCTTTTCGTTATAATTCTAAGCATTCAGAGCTTGATTATCCACAATAATTCCTTGCTTTCTAGCTACATTCCCACCAACAACTCCAATAGGAGCACTAATATTGCTAGTCGGAGCACTAATAATAGTTGATTTGGGCACCCATACAACTTTCTTCTTGAAACATTGATGAACTTCATGACCTAATTTCTTACAAACTAAGCAACATTTTGGTTTATGTTCATAATTAATAGACTTGTTAATAACAATTCTATTTGGATCCTTGAAACTCTACAGAATCCACAAAGAAGAAGACATTGTAACCTCAACTAAGATTCTAGCATAAGCTATTCTTTCTTTTATAGCAGTTATTAATTTGTTTGTGCAAATAGGTCTCACCACTACACAGGCAACTTGCGACAATCCCTTCATGGTCCAAAGATTTAATTGAAGCTTTGATAGCTAAATCTAGTGAGCGAAAATATTAGACTCAACTTGATCAATGTCAAAAATCAATGAATCGACAGGTAAGAAGCAAAGGCCCGCCACCCAAGACCCTCTCTCTAGAGCCATTCCCATAGAGGCTCAGAATCAAACATAAACGAGAACATGTCAGGTTTAAAAAAAAGATTTTAATCAGTCTCATATCATTAGTCCAATGTAATTTAACAAAATTCTCCCTTGGCTTAAACCTAAACG